TATCTCGTGATTTGGCAGTAAAGCGGGAGAGTTTGTCTCAGCAAGTAGGCAAACTCTACATTTTTAATTCGTAAAAAGTACGTCTTCATTATTGACTAAGGGGCCAGATAGTTGTCTCAGTTAGGAGACAGACTATACGTGAGATTTGTGGAAACGAATAAAGAAATGGCAAAAGGTACGCAATCTTAGTTTCCCAATTTTAATATGTTATTTCATTTGTTGATCTATTTCAAATGTATTCTTGATATGATGTATGTATGTATGATTTCATTTTGCTGGATTTTAGTGAAATGCTAGTCATGACATTTTATTCTTTGATTTCCTAATTATCAATTCATTTGGAGAATTGGCAAGATTGAATGTAATTAAAATTTCATTAGATTAGTTGAAAAGATTGCATGTAATTGAATCTTGAATACATAGGAGTGATTAGGAATTTAAATGTATTAAGCTTAAGGAATGATGGGTAATGTTTCATAGTTTATGGATTAACTCTGTTTAGAATGAGTATGACCTAACATTACATGTAAACCATATACTAGTTTGCAATATTTAATTGATCACTTAAGTGTATATCTATATGCTAGTTTGTAATATTTAATTGGTCGAGTAAACTATTTTAGAATAGTTAGAGCTGGAGGTCTAAGCCATATGTAACTTAACAGAGTAAGAAGTCAAGGGGGGGTTACATATGGCTGAGTTGAATTTAATTGACCATCCCTAGCGTGACCCGAATAAAGGTCAGGACAAGCATCAACATAAACATAACAGTTAGCTAACAGAAGTTACTGCGGCAGAATTTATGGCTTTTGTTCTGAGCCAAATTAATGTAAAAATACAGATATACCTGAGAATGTGACCTATTGTCTATTGTGAGAAATTTTATTTATTGAAGGAAACAGCTTTCCTGGATTCACATGAGAAATCCCTGAACAATCATAGGACCAGAACAAATTCTACGAAGAAATCTAAGTCCAGAGATGATTGTTAAGTCAGAATTCGACGGACAAGAGTCCAAGACAAAAAGCTAGACAAAGATCGACAGAGCAGGGATGAACGGAAGTCTTGATGTCTACATAAATTAGGTGATGAAGTCTCTCATCGTTGCACTCAAAGGTCACATTTCATTGGCAATTAGGATAGCAATTTAACATTGAAAGTAATTTTACATTTAAAGAAATTTGTATTGTCATTTTTATTTGAGTATATGTTAGTACCATTTTTCCTTCTTTTGTAACTAAGTCATTGATTTCCTTTCATTTTAAATTCTGTTGATAAACTGATTAAATTTTATATTTGTTCATTTAAAGGGGGCTCATCGTGTTTATTTCTTCAATATACTTGTTCAGTGATCTGCATTCTTCTTTCTATCTATCCACACTGGGTAAATCACACCGCGGAGGTCATTCCCTAGCAACGAACCGTAGTGAAAGAGGTTGGTGTTTTTTGCATGCCGCAAATTTGTCACACTATTATTGTGAACTTTTAAAAAGTATTAAATATTTTAAAAAATTAGTCAAGAACACCTGATTAGGGATTTTGACCAACCTGCAATTACAATAATGTAATCTAGTTACTCAGTTAAGTTTTTTTTTACAAAGCAAATCCTATTATTCTCTTTTGGAGTCATATGTCCAAAATAACTAAGAAAATTTTCTACTAGAAAATAAAATATTACTTAAATTCAATGTTAAATGCAAATATGAATACTGGGAAATAGAGGGCAAAATTCAAATGAGAACACACACACACACACACATATAGTTTCTTGCTTTGTGTCCACTTCACCCTGTTGAGCTCTTACTTCTACCTGTTCTGTCCAAAAGGAGAAGTAACTTATCCCTAAAATTCAAGTCTAGCTCGACCCCTGATTTCAAATGCTTATTTAAACTATGCTTCATTGATATTATGAACACTGTTGAAAGATCCCAAGGAAAGCAGGAACATACCTATTCAACTAACCAGATAATTACAAGTTACTTGGTACAAGTTGAGTTTTAATGTTTTCGCCCAACGCAATGTTTTTCATCTCACTATTTTGTCCCTTTTTTCATCTCTTTATTTTGTCCCTAACGCACAAGAGGGAAGAGGGGAAACGCACAAGAGGGAAGAGGGGAATGGAAAAAAGAAAGGATTCCGATAAGATTGCGTACCATTTTAATTTCATTTAGAAAACAGGGACTATTAATACCTTTTATTGATATTTTCCTATGTCATTTATGAATAATGAATGAATAGAAATTCATCACTGATCTACTGCATGATAATTTGATATACCAATGATACAGGTATACTTTTTTTCTTTATACCAACACTTTAAATTCCAGAAAATATTTTTTGAATAAATTAAAAAATTCCAGCCCATATCAAATACTGGACACAAGAATAAGATTCTGACTAAAGATGTTAAAAAACAAATGACTAATATCTCATAGTATCTCTAGCAAACAAGATTATAAAGCACTCTACCTGATCTAGGTCACAATTAACATTTTCTGGAAATAATACGACTTAATGAAATTTTCTATTTGATAATAATCTGGGTTCTCAACAAGATAAACTATGTTATAAAATTAAAATGTAAGGAAAACAGTCTCTTTTTTTTTTTAAACAGGAATATTAAAAGTATACAATTGAATATGTATCCAATATTTATGCTTGATTAATGGAAAGAACATGTATTATGTACTGATGCTTTAGTGACTTTACTGATGTGACATCATTAGATTAACTTTCAATGGAACACATGGTGATTTAAGTGCATTTGAATTGAACGATGTGGTTGTTGGTTGAGTTACTGTTGATAATTAATGGTATATGTCACTGCACCAATCATTAAATGAATTACATATTCAGTTTATACAAATTACATCTGATATATCAAGCAATCTGCACACACTGCAATTTTTCATGACATTAAAGTAAAATCAAGAGAATTACTGAGTAATTTTCCTTCACAGTTGGTTTTCAGAAATAGGGCCATCAACCAATTATGTTGATAGTATTAATATCCATGTGTTTGCTTTTTTTTTTTTTTCGCTTCTTGGTACATTTATGTGAGCTTTGGTTCAAATATATGTAATATTAGGGTGTTCTTGGATTGTCTTGGGTTTTCCTTGGGTATTGGGTATCTTGGGATATTTAGTAAGACCGAAAAACTGCCAGACAGCATTGTATGAACTTCCCGATAAGGTACTTCCAATGCTACTGTGCGTAACCTATTAAATTTTCCAATTTAGCATACAAATTAATCCTGATAAGTTTGCCGCAGGTAAAATTTTTGGCGATTCAAAAACAATTTGGGAGGCTTCTCTTTCCAAATTTTTTGAATTTCAGGGCAGGGCGGCAAATATGTCAGTGGGCCAACAGTAAGTTTAAATTTTTTTTGTTCCTTTCAACGCGCAATTAAAACAACCTTGAATTCACTCGTGCTAACGCAAAAACTGATACTGTCGCAATTATTTCATTTCAATTACTTTATGTGTGTATAATAGTGATGCAGCTGTCAGAAAACGTTTTTATGCTACAATTTTGTAAGGAATGACCTGAACTATATAAAGTGCGTGAACAGTGGCATCTCACCAAAACGTTGGTATATGCTTCACTAAAATCTGGATCTTTGTGATTTACAAGTAAACAAAAGTGTTTTCTTTCAAAACGACTCTGCGGTACAGAGTGAATTCACTTGAAGAAACGTGTTTGTTATATCTCATTCGAAAAATAAGTAACAAACCAGAATTCATATTTGCTGACGAGTCCATTGTATCTTCCTGTCATAAATCCACCATAACTTCGCCGTGACGTCACGCCTTTCCCGGTAAACTTCGGAAGCAGTGACATCACGAACTATTTTACCAACCTCGGTAAAATTATATATCAATGGGCAAGTTGAATATTTAATTAGGGCAAATAAAATGTATAGATAAGCATATATACGTTTGAATTGCATTATGAACCACAACATTTCATATGAATGTGATGAAATAGGTAAAATCTGATGAATACGTCTTCATTAAACTAAAGCAATTCTCCGAGTAAAAAGTAGTGCACTATCGTCTCTGTGTGTGCAATGCGGTTATAAAAGTACGTATAAAATAGCATTGGTGAGATGTGAAAGTGGATAAAATATATCTGATAAAATTCCCGATCAATGAGGACAGAACATTCTGTTTGGTAAGGGATTTTATAAATGCTACATGTAAATATATATTTAAGTGCACAAATATTGCACTTGCTTCATGTCGTTTGACATTTCAGCTGATCGTGTGCCCCCCCCTCCGCTGAATGAATGCAAAACAGTATAACTGTTTCGTAAACATCAAGCTGCCCATAATTTTTGTTTGCTTATTTATATATTTGCACCATTAATCTCATACGCCGATTACTCTATGAATAAATGCCATGTAAGTTTTGACACTAAATCCATTATCTGTCTTGAGTTCGTGGTTGCATAGTTGTTTAAATCCCAAGCATAAACAAAAGCAACTTAAGTGAAACTTCTGAATGATTTCACAGATTCACGGTTAAAATACTACGTCATAACCGGGGTTGTCGCCACATTATATCAGTTTTTTTGCTTCTGGTTTTCTTATTGTCCACACCTCTTAATAGGACTGACTAAAGTCATTGGCTAATTGGAAGGAGTATGCATATATAAATTATATTGCCAGAGACTGGTTTCTGCAAACATTTGTGCACAGTTAAATTGTCACAATGTGCGAATGATTATGGATTGTTAGGAATGTGAGACTAGGGTAAGGTGTTTATGATTTTTTTTTTAAACATAGCTCTAACAATTTCTCAGTCCTATCGCTATGCTGTCTGCATTGTGGCAGTTTATAGTGATGTCTAGCACTGGGGCATCATGCCGCAAACATGTAGCATGATGACCCACCCAGTCACATTATCCTGACACCAGGCCAACCAGTTCTAACACTAACCTCTTAATGCCGAGCGTCAAGCGAGGCAGCTGTTAGTACCAGTTTTGTAAGTCTTTGGTATGACTCGACCGGGTATCGAGCCCATGACTTCCCGCATCCGAGGCGGATGCTCTAACCACTAGGCCACCGGAGCGGGTAGACTAGGGTAAGAAGTAGAATGTTGAACTTGTTTTTAATAGGATAATCAAATGAAATTTAATTGTTTAGATCCATCATTTTTCCCATCATCTAGAGGTTTGCTTCTGAAAAGACATTCTTGAGTTGAAACATATGGCAAAATACACCATCTCCTAGCTGTTAGGGAAAGTCATGGCTGATTGATAGATTTTGAAGATGATAGTAATTTCCATAAACTCAAAGGGGGTGTGTATTGCTACTTGTGTCATGAAATTATATGATCCAGGACCGATCAAATGACATAGCCCGATGACCTAGACTGTAAAATCTTCCAAGCATGCCTTGCCTAATTTTTATGATTTAATCATCAACCTTTATCTGACTGTTCATGTCTTCTGGGCTTACTTAATGCTTGGTTCTTCCCCTCTCTTTGGATTTCTATTCTGTATCATATCTACCAGTGGTCATTGATACATTTAACTGTCACATACAGCTCTTATATTGCTGCTTGACTGCATATTGGGCTATGCAATTTGATAATAATCAAAATAAAACATATCAAAGAAAGGAAAGCCAGTTTGATTAATTAAGTTTGACGTAGCTCCTTCTGCAAAGAAACAAGCCAGAATCTGTGGATGCTAAAAATGTCCAATATGACAACTAAAAGAGGAAGAAATGTCAAGCTGCACTAGGTTGATTCTTATCCTTGGCTTGTATTTATTGACATGAAAGATTTTGTTGTTATAGTGTTTAACACCATTTTTCAGCACAAGGTAGACTATACATGGTGGCTAGTATTAATGGTAAAGAAAATCCCAGGAATAACCACTGATCCATGAGTAGCTACTGGCAGGCTTTCTCACTTACCCATGTTAGCCAGTTTGGACTTGAACTCATGCAGAGAGATGTGAGATGGCATTGATTCATAACAGTCAATACTTTAGACCACTCTGCCACTCTGGGGCCCCTGACTTGAAAGACATTTGGCAGTTATATTGTTGATAATAAGATTTTGTTGTTATAGGGTTTAGCACCATTTTTCAGCATGGAAGCACAAAAGTAATTAAAATACTAAACTAGACCCTTTTTCCCCCAAAACTGAAATATCCAAGAACATGTATTGCACCAAGCAAGTGCATCTATTTTTAGAAAAACATATATTCTTAATCAACTATTCACTTTCTTGCTTTGTTACAACAAATTCATTAATAAGACTACATATTTATGGTTGAATTATTTGTTTACCTACTAGTATTAATGATATAAATCGGTTAAATAGTATTTACTTCATTACTATATTTCTCTTTTGTAATTTTATGAAAATTAATTAGGGTAATTCAGGAAACAACCTTGACTTTGCAGCATTGTTTTGAATTCCAGAACAGAGATTGTCAGTGTTTTTGACCTACATTATTAAATATTTAGGCTAAATCTCCTATGACATAATATTTAAACTTTGTTTGCAATATATTTATATTTTCCTGAATCTATTTGCCCAAGTATTTACGAATACCGACAGTTTAATGATGTCTGTATATGTAGTGACGTCTGCCATTACAAATTCATTTACGTTTTCAAACTGATTTTTTTAAGACTATATGCAAATATGGCCATTAAAATCTTCATTTATAAAAAAAAGAAATACATTAGAAGACATTTCAATGATCACATTTTTAAAATAAAATTTTAAAAGTCATAATCTACAGCCATTTTATGTCCAAAAATTAGTCATTTTTGCTTTCCTAACAGAAGAAGGCAAAGTTTACCATTCTCAGGCGACTTTTTTGCCCGCTTCTTCTGGTAGAGTGACCCCTGGCACATGACTATAATAAAGAGTATTCTGATCGGTACAAAAAATTAAAATTTATCCAATGAATCTTTGCGTAATATAAACTGATATCAACAGAAAGAATTAGCATGCTTGCAAAACAATGCATACTGAGCATGACTTGAAAAGTTTAGGTAATGGTTTAAAAAAATATATGAAAATGGAAATGGCTGGAGCAAAAAGTTGACAGAAATTTAGTTGGTCAGCTTATAAGAAAACTGAACGCTAGAAGACTGGCATTTGTGTCCTCTGCAAGAAAGACTTTAATTATGGTAATGGCAGTTGGAAGAGTTTGGAACAGCACCTACAAAAAGAAGCTGCATACAGAAAAATTAGTTGATGTTATTTACTATAAAAAGAAAGATTGTATGAGATAACATGTAGCGCTGTCAAAATATTCATATTGCATGTTGCAGATACAAGCACTAGGTTAAAGGAAAAGGAAAGGTTCTCGTTGAGAAGGAAAAGAAATGATTGTACATTGAGCAAAAAAAAAATCAGTGGTGACAAAAAGGAAGGCTAAAGAAATCTTTGCCAAAGATGCAAAAAGATCTTGATTACCATAGCAACAGGTTCTGTCCAGTGGAGAAAGAGACAAGCGAATGTATGGGATTATTTATATATAGATGATCTACTTGGCTTATTTTACAGATTTGTCATGAAAAGACAGAAAGTGTAATAAAGTGTAATATGTTTGCTGCAAAAATTGACAAATTAATGTTACTTAATTATGATGTGATCACTGACATGCACATGAAATAATTTCAGCATCAATAGTATTGGAGAACAAATTTGTGCCAATAAATGTTGTGAAATTATTAAAGTTAAATATTTTTGGTAAGTTTATTAATTTTAAAAATGATTATTTTGTTTTATATTATGATCATAAGTTGCACTAGGATCAGTTTTTTATGATTGTAAAATGTGTTTTTGGCTGGGAGCCTTCAGGCCCCCTGGACCCTCAGATCGGGAGTGCTGCCCCTTGAGATCCCATTGGAGAAGGATCCCCAAACCCTCCTTTAAAAAATTTAATCTTTTTTATGGCAGAAAAAAAATCACGTCTAGAACATACAGTGGGTAATAAAGAAAATTTCAAATTCTAAAATCTGAAGGTCAGAGGTTATGTTCATAGAAAATCAGATAAGAAAATAATGGTTTCTGCACATTAAGTTTAGATGGCTATCATACATGGACCAATGTTTGGGGTCACTGAGACCCACTGACCAATCAGTCGAGTTATCATAGTGACTACATGGAGCATATTAAATGTTGCTCAGGTATGTGATTTGGCATTCATTGTACAATCATAAAGCAATTTTTTTCCTGCCCATTTTTTTAGTTACTTAGCATGTGACAGTTGAAGAAACATTCAAGGTTGGGAGATCATCTCAAGATTTAGGAATACACTTTATGTTGAAATGAATATAGGTGTTCATAATGTGATCAGTAAGTTAGTAAACCCATTGTAATTGAGGATGTATTTAACTATGGTGTCAGTCCATTTATCTGTCAGTGGATCTATCCATTTTATTACCAACATTTTGCCATGGTGTAGTTACCAGACCTTTTTAATGGCTTGCACTTGGGGTAACAAAGAAGCCTATTTGAGTCTTGGGTTCTAATGTAAAGTTTAAAGACACTGACTGAAAGAAGAAAAGCTATTATCACACAATAATATTAGATATATTTCATATACATGGATCAAACTTTTGGGTCAAGGTTATTTCCCCACTGCAGGTTCACTTACAGTTCCAAACTGATTTTTATGAAGAAAATAATGTATTATGGCCAACATAGCAGAGGTCTTGAAAATCTGGTAATGGCTGCTCCTCCTGAATGGATGGTCATATCAACATGGGGTTTTCATGGAAAGACTTTATCTAGTTGGTCCAAAATGAAAATTCTGCCAATCTGATGTCCAATATTGCTTTAGAACATAAGATATATATTTAAAGATTTCTTAGGTCTAGATGATCCTAAATGAAAACTGCCAGTATGACATGCAGTATGGCAGCCATTTTTAAATTCTTATTACTACTCCCCTTTCTTGGATGGGCATTATCAATATGGAGTTTTCAATAAAAGACTTTTTATGGCATCTAGTTGATCTGGAATAAGCAAACTCAGCTCAGATGTACAAATAAAGTTTTGGAATTTTGTATAAAAATAATTTTTTTTATTTTTTTACTTGGATGGAAAAAATTACTAGGGTCAGAAATGAGAGACAGGGATGGTCAGTCAACTGGAAACGCATGTAATTGTTTTATGGCCTTATTGCTGAATACAGTAGTCCCCCTCTTATACGGCCACCCCTTCTGCACCGGGAAAGTGGCCTTATAAGGCGGGTGGCCTTTCCAGAGGGGGACTAAATTTTTTGTGAGAAGTATATGTACGTAGTAAGAAAGCTTCATTTTTCAAAGCATTAAATATCTTCCTTTAAAAGCAACATTAAATATTGAACAGTTCTTGTGCTATAATAGTTGACTTATTTCAACTGAATATGCATTAATAGTTCTTATTCTTGGCGTAAGCGCGTTATGTGAGCGGGTGTTGTCATGCACATAGCAGAACCATTCAAAAACGTCATTTGAATCTTGGTACATATACAATTATATTTCCTTTTGCTCCATTTTCCCACTGCTGCTAAATAACTTATCGGTTACAATGTTATTTATTCGAGTCTTTTCAACATAAAATTGTTTTATTCGAGTCTTTTCTACCTAAATTTGTTTGATTAGTCCCCCTCCCCACCTCACTCGATATCGTAGACTATAATAACGGACATTTTCTGAAATAATCATCTTCGTTTACATAATGACATGTTAATGTTTGGTAATGATTTATTCCGATGTTGCTAACTGTATGTGATTTAATTATGCAGACGACACATTTATTGTGCGGACGAAATGCTTTCTTTTTAAAGAAGCAACAAGTTCTGTTGTCACATGATTTTTTGGTCTTTGTCTAGTACACTGTTTCTATTTTTAGCCAATGCTGACCATGTGATCTTGACCTTACATCCAGTTATAATCATCAATGTTGCAACTACCAGACTGATGAAACAATTTTTTTTTCTGCATTTAAACAAGATGCCGTATATTTTTAAAGTCATCGATTGTCACGTGATTCATTAGTCACAGTCTGGTACCTATTGTTTTTGTATATATATATATATATATATATATATA